GAAAACACAAACTCCAATATTTTAAGAAAGTTACGGAAATGAAAAATGATTACCTTCACCTAAAACAATTTGTGTCATTGTAATTATTGTGAAAAAGTATTGTCTGCTGCTAATTTTATCCTCTTATTTGAATTTCTATAAGATGTACATACTGGTGACATTATATCAAGAGTACTCCTCTGTCTTTCAAGTTATGACAAAAATATCCGACTTGTTGATGATTGGGGATTGGGTGACTGGATGACTGGATAGTGACTGGAAAATGACTGGATTGAAATCTGTACACCGATTGGTGGAAGTTGCGGCCCCCTCGACCCTCGGCGTACTAGGGGTGCTCCAGCTCTCCCAACCCCCTCCGCACCTCGCTCCCCCACGTGGCTGCTACCGGTGGTCCGGCCGATGGGCGGGGGACACGAGCTTCCTTTCCTAGGGCCTAACACTGAGTCTGGAGGGGCATGGCGGGGCATGGCGGGGCGTGGCGGGGCGTGGCGGCACAGCGGACGGGCCGGGGCCTCCGGCGGCCTGCGGAGCGCGCGCCCAGTGCTGGTTCGTCCCCGTCAACGAACGGACGCGTCCTGATTCCCGCTGGCGTCGAGCTCCTCGCGCTGCGACTCGATCTCCACCTCGCTCCGCGTCGCGGCGCTCCAACGCGAGCACGCCGCGAGAGCGGGAGGGCCGCCTGCGTCGCCTCACCGTCGTCAACGAGCACGCCGTCAACCAGAGTGAGGTTGGAGCAAGACAGTGTTGGGTACCCTTCGAGTGGACACGGCGGTGACCAGGATCGACCTGACCAGGTGTAGGGACCTGACGGACGCCGCTGACCTCTCAGTTCTGGCCTCCCAGGCCCCCAGGACTTTCTCGACCCTTGGACCGGCAGCGGAGGTTGAGCTCCCAGTGGCGCTGCAGGCCCTGCTCTCCAGTCCCGACCTGACCTGCTCGGCCCCCGCCGGCCAAGCCCTCCCGGTGACCGGCATTCCTTTTACTGCAGTCAGTGGCCGCGCCACGCCGCGCCACGCCAGCCCGGATGACTCATCACTGATGTCGCAGCGTGAGTAGTTTTCACTCATTTAAGTGGTGAGCGTCCTGCCGCGGTTGTCGCGTCGCTGGTGGTGCGCTCCTGAGGATTGGAACACAACACTTTTGCCATGCCTATGACAGTCGTGGGAGTGGGAGCACCCACTCACAGTATGTACCCAGGGCACTTCGACAACGAGCTATATGCATGTTGTGTTTGTGTTTTGTGTAAAAAACAAACAAGATGTAAAGTGTTTGCAGTTCTAGCCAACTAGAGGAAAAACATATAGGTACATATATGTCTAAAACTTACAACACTGACCCATATTATACGTTATTGTGCTCTACAGTCGATCCCACTCGGTCTATATGCAGGGCTGTGATTTATTTTGTCGCGCAGCACGTGCTAAAAGCTGAGCGTCATCGTCTTTTGTGGTCGCTCCGCAAGCGTGGTCCGTGTCGGTGTGGCCTCAATGTGGTCACCCCGCGTGCGACGAGCTGAATAACATAATGTGTGGCATGGGCCGTGTCGCCTAGTCCATCACACATAACTAGGGTTGTTGATTACTTGCGATAGGCCGTCGTAGAGCTTCGGTCTGTCAGAGGTCCTCAAAGTCTTCCTCGCTGACCGACGACAGACACTGGCCGCGCGACAGTGAGGACACGTCCCTCCCTCCTCACCTCTCACCCAGGAGGTGGTCAACTAACTCGGTGTTTTGTCGGTCGGTCAGAGGTCAGTGGAGGTGATTTAGCTGAGTTTCAAATTATTCTTGGGCCGATATGCTGAGCGGTAGTTGCGTTATACTAATTGAAAGCCACACTGAAAAAAAAAGTTGCTTACTCGTGCTGTTTCACGGGTGCTAAAGAAAGTTTAAGAAGCCTAATGGTGCTAAAAATTAGTGCCTTTGGCAGTTTTACTGGCTTAGTAAAGGCACTAAACCTTTACTGCCTTTTAAATAGATGACTTAGCACCTTTGATTTCCCAGTAAGGAGAATTGCATATTTGAGGAATTGAGTCCTCTCTCCGTTCTTTAGCAATATAGTAGAACTTGGGATTGCAAGTTTCTCCATCCAAAATAACTACGGCTCCTAAGGCCAAATGTGAGTAGACAAATAGTACGGACGCCTGTCAACAGCACAGTTTGGCTATGACGACTGTGCAGCATGAACCCATCCACTTAAGTGGACACTACTTCTGTTAGTACACACAATGTAGAGTTCAGCCCCGAGCCAACAGAATCTCTGCTAATGCACAATGCGCTTGAGATGATAAAAGAAGGAATCAGGGCTTCCAGTAACGAGCGAGCTGCCAACGGTCCATCTAGATTTTAAACTCGATGTAGCTGTTGTTGTTTTTTGCCCGAATTTTCAAGTCCCAGTCCTGTGTCGCTTTAAAAAACATTTCAAGCTAAACATCGTAAATTAAAGCAGATGACAAACACATACGAAGCGAAGCCGGTTAATAGGATTGAATTCACAATCCCAATAACTTTCGGCCAAAACTTTATGGTTTCCGCCGTGGGCTCCAAGCACCCTATTGACGGAGCGTTGGGTGG